GTGTTTAGAATAAAGGATTTATTAGATTACTACTTTTCGTTTTCAGAAAAGATTGTAAAAAATGATAGAAAATATTTATATTTGTGATTACAGATTCGATATCTAATATAAACAATTAATAGTTTTGTAAAATATTAATAAATTCTTATATTGATTGTGTTTTCGGATTAAACAATTCTCGATTGAATTTTGTTTTTATTTCAATAAGATATTAAGGATACTTGGATTTATTATATGATTTGAGAATTTTCTATACCTTTTGTATATCAAATTTAATAATTAATTTGAAGATTGATAAACAATGGATTGCTTCTATAAAACTATTGAAAATAAAGATATCATTAATCAATCGTTTTATGAAATCTATATATAATAAATTAATTACATTTTCTAATGCTTTTAGTTTTTCTTTGTCTTTATTAACAATAAACTATACTTGAATAATCATTAATATTATTTTATAGATCTATTTGAAATCTATACAATACTTATAGAATCCATTATTATAATAAAATATAATTTTATCAAAAAGTCAGAGGTTTTATACTTAATGAAAAGGTTTTTATATAAAGCAAAAAGAGACTTTTTTCTTTTATTTATTAAGATATTAATCGAAATATTGGTATAAATATTGATTAATACAGGATTATAATCTATTAGAATATTACTAAAATTATAATAAGTATAACAATAGTAATATTGTATATGTATATCCTTAGAGATATTTTAGTGGTATTGGATATATGTATAAGTGTATAAGGCACATGCATATAGACAACGTCATGTGACCTGTATCACGTGACATTGTGTGACTCTGTACTGCACTTCCAACAACAATAATACAAATAGTAGATAGCAAATATAACACAAAGTGAGAGATCTTATAAGAAGATATAATAAAGAAGTTGATTGATTGAATTAGTTCTTGAGAGAGCTCTAACTTTTGTGAGATATTTATAGTAGAATCGTGCGAGCTAAGAGGGTCTCGTGTAACTAGGTGAAGCTGTAACGCTACTTTTGTCACAAAATAGCAAATAGCAAACCCTGCCTCTCTTCAAGAACTTAGTAAGTAATATATCTCATATAGAACTCAAGCTCATCAGAATATACATATGAAGTCCCAAAATCATCAATATAAGAATAGAATGCCAACGCTGTAAAACATACCAAAGGTATGATTTGAAAATTTCCGTCACGGTCTAGCTGTTTATTTTTGACAGCTCCAGCAAGACTTACTGTAATAATTGAGTAGGGGTCTGATTTATAATCAATGATTAACCATTCAACTAACTTAATATTAGTACACTAATGAAACTAATCGTTTAGTTTGTTGAATTCTACTATAAATGATAATTAATTCAATTTGTATAATCTCAACTACTCTACTAGTTAAACTATAATATCCCAAATTACTAGTTTAGCTAATTTAATTAATTAAGTAATAAAACTATAATAATCTAGACTTTAAATTAACAATTCGATTTATCAAATTCAAACTAACACTGAGTTTATTTTATATAGTCATTTTAACTATTAGTCAAACTATAACATCCAATTTACCTGTTTTCCGATTTTAAATTATCGACTATTTTAGATCTAGATTGATAAAGCTAGCAGCTTTAAAGCTCGCAAAGGAGAAAGTTGTACTGTACATTCTTATGAGTTATATATGAATTTGCGGGCGGATAATACATCTTCAAATACAAACCAATGGACCATAAGTTTGTAAGAATCAGGGTTTCCATCACCAATAGTCCAGACTGGAATCTGATAATATAATGAGGATTTAGGAACTCTTGAACATTGAATATAGTCCACGTTATGAACTGATTTCATCTGAAACAATACCAGTACCGGTATATGCACTAAATGTCTAGAATGAATGAATAGGCTTCAAAAATCTAAACAGCTTTTTAAATATCGAAGAGTTTGAAATGGAGTGTAGTCTAGGCAATCGAGCAATCGAGCAGTCTGAAGCTCTCATCTAGCTATCAATACGATCCTATCATTCCTATAGAAATCAAACTTACAAGATCCATCTCGTCTCAGTATTTACTATTTAGCATATGATATATATCCGTGCAGCCAGCTAGAACATGCATGCTATATTGGAAAAACATGATAATTATAATTATCAATAATTGCAGCACACTGACCAAATAGTCGTTGACAATCATTAGAATTAAGATGCCGCATGCGAGTCAGGCCAGTGTAGAGAATCTAGAGATGAAATGTAGGTTCGTTTGCAGGACATTGAACAAAAAGTACGAGATACGATGTGGTACAGTATCATCAACGAAATCATGAGAAAGTTCACATCTACTTCGACTATATCCTTATTCTCCCCGCATTTCACTGAAAACCTATCCTATCCTATCCTATCCTATCAATTACTCTAAAGAAGTCAAAGAAGTCAAATGCGGCTATAGATAATGAATGTTACATAACCATATATTAATACCACAGTACATCAAACAAGCCATCAAAAGCCTTAATAATCTCTTCTATCTATCTATCTAACATCTCGCACAAATAAAACCAGCCCTTTTTCTTTTCGCACTACGGTAATCTACTGCCCCCAATCCCAATACCCCCTTCGATCACTTACATCAACCCTCTTAATACACCGCGGAGAAACATGATCTTCCCGAGCTCCCCACGGCCAAATTGCCACGAAACATACTTCATCATATGGACATTTACCGCATTCAAGCCAAGTGGTCCAATCCAATTCTCTGATCAATCCCTTGATCAACTGTATTCCCTTATTTTCCTTATTCACACCCTTTTCTAATTCTTCTCCGTCGTTGAGAATTTCTCTTACTTTGAATAACGTACTACAGATATTATGTGATACCTCAAAGACCGCAGCATGAATCAAAAGATCCGCCTCTGTTTTCGGGATCATCGGTTCCAGAAAATGATTCGCGCATTTTTCTACCGAAGAAGGTATATCTACCTTTGCATAGTCTGTATAAACATCCAAAAGCAACTTGATCTCCGACCAAACCGCCAATTCAGACGTCTCATCCTGAACGATAAACTTTAGACGATCAGAATATCTGGTCACGATCATATCTACCACATTTTGCCAATTAATCGTCTCTTTCTTCTTGTACTCCCCATCTTTGAATAATCCCAATACATCAGAGCGAATTCTCCTTAAACCATCTGTCTGAGAGGCAGCGACCAATCTGGGAAGTTCAGAACGAGATGTATTGGGGTTATCAAGGTTGATTGGATAAAAGAAAGCAGAAATCATGGAGGAATAATCCACTTCGACTCTACCTCCCATAATCCCGTGACACCGATATCCAATCGCTCTCACATATTCGAAATGAGCGACATCGTCTTCCCCCAAACTAGAACTCTCATCTCTTTGTGACGCTGACATGGTTGGGCTCTGTTGATGCGTGAGAGAGATTGCGAATAACGTAGTCTGTGGAATCCAGCGTTCCCATGCTGGTTTTTCCAGCCGACATTCCATCTATGTAGAGAAGTTTGGTGAGAGATCTAGAGGTGCGGTATGTGTGAAGATAACCATGGCTATCTTCATCTTTGTCCTCAGCATCGCCGTGAACATTTCCGCCATGAGGAGATTTTGGACGGCTATCCATTCGTGCATGCGGAGGAGGACCTTTTCCTGGACCATGACCATGACCGCCTCCGGGCCTACTACCAGGAACATGCCCTCTTCTTGGACGCGCAAACATTTCTGCATGTTCAACTTCAAAGGCTAACCACTCCATTCCCTTGACCGGTTCGGGAGTGTGTGTCCCATGGTAGAGTAACGTTCCCTTTGGTACTGTTGCTGGGAAGAAAGACATTCCATTATGTTTGAGAGACGAACCCCATTGTCTCATAGATGAATGAATGGCGTTAAACACCGCAGGCGCATTTACGCGGGCGTTTTCTATACTGGGATCACTTGATTGGTGTACCAATAGTGGCGATTGGCCGGGTACTGCGCTGGCGCTTATAAATAGGGAAAGTAATAGAGGAGCGAGAATTAGAGACGGTGAGAGCATTTTAGACATCATCTCGACCCTGACAACCCTCTAATAAGATAAGGAAAGAACATTGGCAAAATGAAGGAAAACAAGACAACTTGAAGACAACAATGAAGTGAGATCAAGTACTTAGGGCCAAGGCAACAGCCAACGAGCACAAACAAAAGGTATAAGGTTGTGGGTCAACATACGCAGCTTACCGGACGACGCATAGCCCACACTGTTTTTTATCTTATCAATCTGATCAGTCAGGGGTATCATACAGCCCTTGTCAGCCAATGAATGAATAAACCAACAGTGGAGTTGAAAGCTGTGATCTGCGAGTGTAGAGCACGATTTGTCGGTTCCGAGTTGCTATCGGTATGATTCATTCTCTACTGGCTTTCCGGTACATGTCAAGTTGGGTTTGTGAGTGTCAACAAACCTTCTAGCATCAAAATCCGGGTTTGTTAAAACGAAGCGAGTGTTCTAGGTAGTCTTTCACTGCACTGCCAAACAAGAGCATTGTGACCTATCTTTGCCAACGACCATCCAGTACATGATGAGTTGTCTCGTTCAGGAGCACACTCGCACATCATCGAGATTCGAAAACGGGAAAAATGACTGGATATTCAAGACTATCAAGACTATCAAGTGCATTGGAAAGCAAATTAAATTCCAGTGTCATACTGTGACGGAACGACTTGTGGGGTCTAGACTAGATGGTAAATAAGCAGCAGTGAGCACAAAAAGGTAGGATTTAACAAGAGACACTTTTTTCATAATCATGCCTACCTAGTAGTTCTGACTACCACCATGCTATAGATCAACACCCTCCATTTCGGCCCATTGAACTATATATTTTTTGACCTACTCGTCTTTAGTTTCCGAATGGCGCAGAAGGAGAGGAAATATTAAGCACTAACCTGACTGTCAGGAGCAAGTTCCAATGCGAGGAAGCCATCTGAGTCTTTCTTGTCTGTTTCTGCGCCAGCTTTGAGAAGAGCTACCGCGGCATCGCCTGTATGAAGTATCTGGTAAGTCATAGTTCCATAGCATAACAATACATCCGGCTTCGAACATCTAGAGGAAGGAAAATAGAAAGCAACCGTACCGTGACCTTCAGCAACTGCATGATGAAGTGGTGTTTGCCCTGCAACATCCGTAGCATTCAATGGACTTTTATTCTTCAACAATAACTCAATTATTGGCGTGGAGCCAATAGCTGCTGCGCGATGAATTGCGTACTGACCACGTTTATCCTTGATTCGACAGGATGCAGGTGGTTTCTGTGAAAGTAAAAGTTTGACTATTGGGAGGTTGTTTTTGGAAGTGGCGAAGTGTAGGGCAGTCTAGATGCTGGTTAGGTTATAGCTCTTGGGGAGATGGGAAAGAGGTTAAGAGGTCGTCATACTTGATCGCTGAAGTCCAAAAGATAGTGAGCATAATTTGAACGGAAAGACACCACAGGAGAGATGAAACCTACTCTTGGCATTCACTTCCGCTTCTTTCTTCAACAACAAACTAACAATATCATCACCTTCTTTGAGACTGACGGCGATCATGAGTAGTGTCCATCCGGATCCATCCTATGATATGTATCATTAACATCACCCTAAGATCTCATGGAGTATGGCATGCAATACCAACATATACATACCTGTACGTCTGGATCAAACTTCTTCACATTAGAGAGTAATATCGTAATATCCAAATGACCATACGAAACAGCCCAATGAATGGGTAATCTTTCGTCGTCGTCTTTTAAAAAGGCGAGTTTGGGGTTGGCCTACAATTTGTGAGTACTACTCATACTTCTATGTAGCCAAGTATTCCACCAAGGAAGTTCTGGTATTCTCCTACATTGAGAAGAGATTCAACGATAATAGCTAGATTCTTGTTAGTTGAGGGTTCGTTTGCTAATAAGTGGCCACGGTGGATTGAATTGAGATGTAGAGGGGTAGTATCTTACTTCTACCATCACGACAAGCCTGATGGAGGGCATATTTATCATTTGATGGGTTTTCCATTTTATTTGAATAGAACCAATACCCAGCCAGGTATGTTTTTGATGAAAGTTTTGGTAGAGAAGGAGAGAAGGAGAGAAGGAATTATTGTAGAAATTGTTGTAGGAATGGAATTTATTTAATAATTGTTATAATTGTTAATGGGCCATCGGGTTGGTTAGTGGCTAGTGGCCCGTGCTTTCAAGGCTCACGTTCATGAAGCTTTATCGCGATAAATTTCCAAATCGCAAGACCTCAAACGCATCACCAATATGGCAACCGCAATTGCATCTCAAACCTCGGAGGATCAAATCAGAATACTTATAAAACAAAATGCCAAACGAACACGTTCTCTCTTCGCCGACACCGAGTCAACCCCCGATCTCAAATCTACAGAAACCGCAGATAAATTAGCCTTAGTAGGAAGAGTGCACGCCGAATACGATCATGTCCGAGAATTACCACCTGCACTAGCCGCAAAACAAGCTGCTGCAGCCGGAAACAGGAGGAAGAAGACGAAAGTACAAGCCGATGGAGAAACAGCTGCGGACAACAATACGCTGAAGATGATCGAGGGAATCCCATCACGAATTGAGAACTCCGGGGCTGGAGCTAGCACAAGTCTTATAATCAGAGGCAAAGACACACCACCTAATGCAAACGGGCCTTCAATATCTACAGCGCAAAGCAATTTACCATCTAGCAGTCTAGTGCGCAAACAAAACTTCATCCAGCCAAAACCCGAATGGCATGCTCCATGGAAACTAATGCGCGTGATATCCGGACACTTGGGCTGGGTGCGCGCACTTGCTGTCGAGCCTGAGAATCGATGGTTTGCATCTGGAGCTGGAGATCGCACGATTAAGATTTGGGATTTGGCGACTGGAGGACTAAAGCTTACGTTGACGGGACATATTTCGACAGTGAGGGGATTGGCCGTCAGTCCAAGACATCCTTATTTATTTAGTTGTGGAGAGGATAAGATGGTCAAGTGTTGGGATTTGGAGACGAATAAGGTGATACGACATTATCATGGACATTTGAGTGGTGTTTATACTTTGGCTTTACATCCTACGCTGGATGTGTTAGTTACGGGTGGTAGAGATGGTGTTGCTCGGGTGTGGGACATGAGGACGAGGAGCAATGTCCATGTGCTCGCAGGACACAAGGGGACGATATCAGATTTGAAGTGTCAGGAAGCGGATCCGCAAATCATCACATCATCTCTCGATTCTACAGTCCGACTGTGGGATTTGGCAGCCGGCAAAAGTATGGGTGCACTTACACATCATAAGAAAGGTGTTCGAGCACTAGCCATCCATCCCAAGGAATTCACCTTCGCCAGTGGGAGTGCCGGGAGCATCAAACAATGGAAATGTCCCGAAGGAGCATTTATGCAGAATTTCGACGGCCAGAACGCCATCATCAACACTTTGAGCGTCAACGAAGATAACGTCTTATTCTCAGGAGGCGACAATGGATCCATGTCTTTCTGGGATTGGAAAACAGGCCATCGATACCAAGCACTTGATTCCATCGCGCAACCAGGTTCTCTCGATGCCGAAGCCGGAATCTTCACTTCGTTATTCGACAAGACTGGATTGAGATTAATCACAGGAGAAGCGGATAAAACTAGTAAGTACCCCCTTACATCCCCTTATCCATCCCCTTGCCCATCCATCCATCCATCCATCCATCTCCACATCCATCCATCTCCATCTCCATCTCCATCATCCATCATCCATCCTCCTCTCCCCTCACATCCTCTCCTCTCTCCTCACACACATCCATCTTCCTCTCCCCTCACATTCCTCCTCCTCCATCATCATCTCCTCCATCTCCATCTCCATCTCCATCTTCCTCCTCCTCCATCCACAAACAAACTAACCCAACCCCATTTTTTTTACCCATCTAGTCAAAAATATGGAAACAAGACGAAACCTCCACTCCAGAAACCCACCCTCTAGAATGGAAACCCGAACTTGGCCGTCGAAAATTTTAGTCATCAAATAAATATAAGCACCTGTATGTGTGTGTATAATATGAATATGAATAGGAATGGAGATGTAATGTAAAAAGCATTTGGGAAAAGGGTGTTTTGTGTTTCGTTTCGGCTAGGCTAGGCTGGGTAGCTTAGCTGGGGTGGGCGTGTTGGCGTTTATAATACTAGTATTGCGTTGTAGTGGCAAGTGGCATTGATATAGATATAGATGTCTTATGTGCCATGAATATCATTTTGTGAATTTTTCTTTATTGATGTGTTATAAGATCTTACTATTCTATTGTATAAGATGGTGCTGGGTATCAATCTATACATTCATCATCCTATATCCCTATATCCATATCTATATGCATACACCCCTAAACCGAAACCTACCCCGTAAATCCCAATCCCCTAATCTCAGGATCATCCCTAAAAGCAACCTTAACATCCTCCTCTCCAATCCCCAACCTAACCTTACCCATCCTCTCCGCTTTCCGAACCTCCACACCTATGATTCCCGCTTCCATTAATTCCATCGTCGCCTCTCCCATCCCCTGTACCCTCGCCCCTCTTCCTGTTGCTCTTCCCCTTGTTCTATCTCCACCACCACCACCGGCACCTCCTCCTCCCTTGCCGTCCCCACCTACAAGCAAATACCCAATCACACTCCCACTCGTATCCAATTTGGCCATCCTCCTCGCCTCATCCACCACCTCCCCAATCAAGCACTCGCCCGTCCCCGCCCTCCTCAATCTGAGAATGAGCGCCGCAAGGAACAATTTCGTAACGAGTGGTAGAGCCCTCAAATACTGTTGAAGCGGACTTGTTGTAGCCTCATTTATTGCCTTTTTAACCGTAGCTATGCTTACCACACCTTTGCCCTTTCGTTCTTCTCGACCTGGGGTTTTTGATGGTGTGTCTGGGATGGAGAGAGACTCAGCTTCTGCGAGTTCGACGGCTCGACGGCAAATATCGAGGGCGCGACGGGCGTCGCCGGAAACGGAGGCGACTTTGCGGGAGGCGAATTGGATGGCGTCCGGGTGGATGAGATGGGTGGGGACATCGGTTAGACGGGAGGTTATAATGGTTTGGAGTTGTTCGTGGGTGTAGCCTGGGAAGGTTATACGAGTTAGACCTAGAGTTGGATCGTTAGTGGCGGCTGGTTGAAGACTGAGAAATATGATTCTACATACCGAGACGTGAGGAAATCTTGTTGGAAAGAGTACGTTCAGGCAAATCCATGGTATTAGCCACAGCGAGTACGATTAGTTTAGAATGTCGTAGGCCAGGCCAATTGAAGAAATTATACATCACGCTTTGGTTTTTGGTTACCAATTGATCCAATTCGTCCATCAACACTACACATGGTTCTCTCCTCGGTGATGGTTTGCTAAATTCCCTCTCCAATAAATCCAATGCGTGACTTGGACTCACTCGATCTTCTCTCAGAGCTTCCCATAATAATGAATATGATTGATGTGGATCAGTAACTTTCATTCCGTTGATTTCGACGAATATGAAAGGATCTAATTCATCGGCCAGAACGGATGCACTAAGTTGAGCAACGACTTCTCGAACCGTTGCGGTTTTCCCAGTTCCTGGAGTTCCTGAGATATAAATACAGGAGCCAGTGCCATCCGTGATAGCAGCTGCCAGATGTGTATATACGGATGAGAATTCTTCCTCGCGACAGGGAAGAGTATCGGGGACGGATGAAACGTGAAGACGTGATCGAGCTGTCTGAAAGGGAGAAGCGTTAACGGATGGTGAGAGCATGCGCATTCCTAAGGGTGTGAATTCTAGTGGCTTCTTGACAATAATTCTATGAAACTCGTCAATTAACGATTCTTAGGGGCTATTGGCAAAAACATACCGTTTGTGACTTGGAGTAAGTAGCTTGGACGGTGTGCGTGGTTTTCGAGGAGTCACAGCTTTGGTAGTCTTTTGCCTTTTCCGCGGTGTTGCTAAGATTTCTTCATCCACTTCTGAATAATCAGACTCAGATGCCACACTTGCGTTGTCGTCATCTTCATGCTGCTTCCTAGGAAGTATAGGTTTCTTTTTCTTGTTGTTTGGAATGCTGTTTTCTATCTTCTCGATCAACTTTTCAACACTTTGCTCCGTATTATGGTATATATCCTCCCATACAAATTCATCTGTATATGTGACAGACTTGCTATGTAACCCTCGACGGCATATGAATGTTTTCCCATGCTCCTTTCGATTCTTAGGTATCTTTCCTGTTGGATGTTTGGCTTTGAATGCTCCTTCGGAAAGGATCGTAGCAATACCATTTATTGTTCCCAGAGAGATTGTGTCAAGATCAGAGGATATATAGAGCTCGTTCTGTAATCATTAGCCACAAGAACTAAGAAACAAAATTGAATTACTCACTTCTAATAAGTCTGGACGCTTCCTCGTTTTACTGTGAATATCCTTTGGGCTGCTGAACCACCATATATTGGCTTTCATTATATCAAGATATGATTCGGCATTCTCATCATAGCCCTCATCTTCTTCGAACCCTGAGATAACTCCAACCCAATTTGTGTTCGAGGTATCATTGTTGATCAAGACACAATCTGCAATCTTGCAGATAATCTTTCCAGCCTTAGCACCAATAATCCTTTTAGTTCCTGTACCTCTCAGAAGTCGACGCGTTTTGTTAGCTGCCGCGCTTTTGCTCTCTTTGGCATTAGTCTGGGATGGTGAAACAGCTTCTTCGAAAGTGTCGTCTTCGTATATCCATTCCCATTCAGCCGCTCCTCCCGACTCCTCTTCTTCATCTGATTCCTCCCTAACGGGACGACCGCCCGCTAAACGTTTCCTAGCATTCTCTGCTCTTCGTAACCGTGCCTTTGCATCTGCAGGTAGAATTGCCTTCTGGAGAGGTAGTATTGATTTGGGTGGCATTTCAAATGTTGGTGTCTTTGGACGTCAACAATACATTTAGCATGTGTTGACTTTTTGAAGGTTAAAGCTTAATGTTGTTATGTTGTACCTGACTTTAGTGTACTTATGGGTAATGCGGGGAAAGCTTAATGCCACTACCGGTACTTCGTGCTACGGTTTTCAGGGGTATCAAACTAGGACTTTTAACATACAGGTAGGTAGCTTTTATTGATTAGTATAATGTACAAGTGGAATCAAGGAATTGAGTTGTACAATACCTATCTAATCTTGTATATACGTACACAGCTATCATGAATAATAGAGATCTGAATGTCTGTTTAATACCGTACAGGTGTCAGATTCGGCTGATATGCCGGCCGATATCGCCGTGTTCTCCAACACTTAACTTATCCCATCCACTGACCGCCCTTTTCATTCTATTGTTTATCTTTATTTTTCCTTTTTTTCCATCATTATCCACGAGCTTGGCTCCGGCCCCTTCAGGGCCTATGAGCCCTAAATAGGCCTCCACCTTCACTCGTACTGCGTAGCTATAGATATCTAAGATCTAAATATTATTTATTGTATTATTATATTCATTTTAAATATAAATTTCGAAATCATACAGAGTTTAAACTAAAAAATAAAGTATATTTAAATTCTTTTATAAATCTAAATCTAAATCTAAATCTAAATGTAAATTTAAATCTGAATCTTATATAACTAAAATAATACAAATAATCATAAATTAGAAATAAATATATTATAATTAATAATAAATTTAAAATCATTTTAATTATTTTTTATTTCTAATAACTCTTAAGTATATATATATATATTAATTTTTATTAGAATTCTAATTTATTTAGTTTTAAAGTTTTTTTTTAATTATAACTATTTATAA